ACGGCCTGAATCCAAGTCCCAGGGACTCAGGACCCGGGCAGGAGAAACGAAAACCAACACCTATCTCCTCACAGCATGCCGAATCCTGACCTCAGGACGAGCCGTTTTGAGGGAAAAAGAGGGGTGGGGGCTTCTTTATTCCCTTATTTCAAGCACGATCCCCCTTCTCAACCTCAGCACATCCTGGTCTGACTTCTGTCTGGGGACGTGCCTGTGATTCACCAGGGCTCCCAGCCTGCCCCCTCCCAGCACCTTGCCCCAGGCTCCCCGAGGCAGAGGATCCCCCCTGCGGTGGACACGATGGAACAGTCTAAGGTATAACGCCCAGAACCTCATGATTTCCAGAAGGCATGGTTCCCAGCACGCCACACCCCAGCGAAGGCACCGGTGGGCACCGAGAGCGGCCGCGTCTCTTCACCACAAGCACGTGACCCCTAGCAAGCTGACCTTCCAGAAAGGACCTGCAGAAGGCAGCTAGAGGCCCACGGTGCCTGCAGCCCCGTCAAGTCTCCCTGATCTGTCCCCCGCAGCATCTTTGAGTTTGGCCCTGTCTCTCTCCCACCACACGACCCTTGTAGGAAACTCAGAGCTGTGCTGTCAGTCTAGCAAGCGGCGGGAGCTACTCGCACTCAAATAAATTAGCGCCAGACGGGACTGGACGTTTCCCTCTAACCATGGGGCTAATGGCGTGGAGCCAGAGAACATTTGCACCACCACAGGGAGCTCTCCAGGACGGGACAACACTGCTCCGAGCGCCCCCGTGTGGCTCGCGGGTGTGACAACAGCAAATGCAGCCCCTCCCGGTACCGGGGGCAGGCGTCACCAACAGACCGCAGGACCCCTTCCCACCAAGGCCAGAGGTCCCCCCAGAACTCTGTTCAACACCGCGCTGCAGGCTCAGACCGAGGCTGTCGGCTGCGCGCGGCGTGTTCTCGGGGAGACCACGCGCATGTAAGCTTTTCTTGTTCGTCCCCACCCACTGGCGGGGGTCACCCTGCCTCTAACACGCCAGAACAGGTGGAAGGACACGTTCTGCCACCCGGACAGCTGGCTCGCTGCTGGCAGGCCTGTGCCGGGGGTCAAGGTGGCCAGAAGGCTGCTGCTCTCCCGTCTTGAAGCCACGGGGAATGGCGGGTGGGCCCTGCTTCCCTCCCGAGCACCCCGGGCTTCAGGGGAAGGAGCCAGTACGGAAAGCAAGGCTGAGGGCTCCCGCACAGGAGACACGGCTGGGGCCGGCCCCAGGTTCAAGTCCTGCCGCCTTCATGAGCAGCTAAGGGCCCAGAGCATCTCCTTTGCCTTCTGGATGCCAGTCCTTCCTAGGACTTCTGCGGGGGGAGTACATTTTGCATCCCGCAAGAACCCGACGACCGCGACAGGATGGAGCGTCGACGAACACCCACCCCGCTCAGGGGAGCTCCCTGGGCAGCTGCCCGCCGTACCTTCACTTCTTCCGTGACCTGGAAGTCCTCGTGGACGACATTCTCCACCTCCACCATGAGCACCTCGCCGGGGGGAGCCGAGGCGGGCTCCACCATCACCTCCATCGGGTGCCCGGAGCTCAGGCCCTCCTCCGCCTCCTTCTTGCTACGTTTCGGCTTCCTGCGGGGCTTCTGCTTGTTTTCCGCCTCGGCCTCCTCCGGCTCCACCTCCAGCTGTCTGCTGATGTGAATCCTGCAGACAGAAACGAGGGCGGGGTGAAGCTGCCGGGGTGGCTACAGGGCCAAGCTGGGGACCAAGCTGGTATCTCAGAACCCCAAGACCGGCACGGCGCCCCCCCACCCCCGACACCGCGGGCCTCCAGCTGACCCGCCCAATCCGTGCGCACGCCAACACCCTGCTGTCCTCCACGAACATGTGACGGGTGAGCCAGCGGTGACCGGCTCTGGGGCCCACCTCAAGCCATCAGCTCAACCAAGCAGGACCTCTGGGACTCCGTCTGCCCTCCCTCGGCCCCAAGCTCACCGTACAGTGCTCCTTCGTGCGGTTCGGGCCTCGATTCGAGGGCACCTCCGCCGAAGCCCTCCCTGACCACTCCACGTGTGGTCTGTCCCCCATCTGTGCCTGCCTACCGTCACCCCGTCCGTCTTTGCTTCCCTCCAAAAGCACCCACCACCATCAGAACTCAGCCCGTGACCTGTTTGAATGCTCATGCCCTCCCCGCTGGGGAGAAGGGGGTGCTGGCCTCTTTCTGCCCACACCCGGGTGCCCAGCAGACACCAGACCCCAGGGGTCGAGTGACACATTGAATGCAAACGTGCCGTTCCACCTCTGGGCCCTCTCCTGTCACCCACGCCACCTTCCCCAGAGGGCGGGCCTGGGAGCTGGTGGGCGCGGACCCCACCCCCGGCTGACATCAGCAAGTTGCACAGAGCTGCCTCTGGAGCCCGTGGGACCCACTCCATAAGGCGCCTCGTAGGCGAGGACGGCACTCAGCAGCCACCCCAGTTTTTATTCATTTTGGTTGCATTCCCCACCCCTCCCCCCACGAATGCCCCCAGGAGACAGTGGCAGCCACTTTCCCGAAAACAGCCTCTAACATGAGCAGATGAAAACGGGTGTGGGGCTCCGTGCGGTGGGAATGCCAGTGGGACCTTTCACAGAATCAGTGCATGGAGCACCCCGCTTCCCCGAGTGTGTTCTGGGGTGCTGCCTTGCAGACCCCAGACAAGGCTCTGGGAGAGAAAAGAACCGGGAACTCTCGCTTAGACAAAGGCCGAGCACCTTCGATGAGGGGCTATTTGCAACATTTACTACGTAATGGCACAGGACTCAGAAGTGTTTCCCACGTGGATGTGACCGTGACGCTCCTGACGAGCACCTTGAGGACCAATGCTCCTTGGCGCACACGTGAAAACTGGACAGCGTCCACCCAGCCGAGCTGGCACATTTTTCACAATCAGCTCTGGCCGAACAAGGATTTAAGCTGGGCTCCCCGCTGTGAGCGGCCCTTCAGCAGAGTGGAGGTGGAAACCACACCGCCCGAGAAGGAAAGGTGTCTGCTCGAGTGAAATACGACAGTGCTAGGCTGGATATCCAGCAGGACCTGCTGGCTGACGCAGACAGGGCACCGGAGGAGAAGTATCCCCAACTGGGAACATCTAACACCCAGACGCACCCAGACAACTTGCTGTCTGTACCCAGGATGCTTTTGTGAATAATGTGCATGAAAGATACAGGTTGTCACTGATCACCCACGCTGCCACTCCAACAAGGGGACTCCGAGGAGGGAGGGATCCAGAAGTGATCCATCTCGGCCACCTGCCGTGGCAAGCATTGGCCCAGTCCCTGCCGTGGCAAGGCGACAGGGCTGAGGAAGAAGGGTGGTCCGTGCTGGCACCTGGGGGCACTCGGGGCCTCTCTTCCTGCCCCATCGCACGCACTCGGGGCCCCGCACCTTCTGTGTCCCATGACGATCATGCGCAGCTTGTCCCCGAGGTCCTGCATCTCGTGGATCTGGACAAACGTCCCCGTGTGGTAGACTTCATCCAGGCTCTCGACCACGTCCGACTCGTTGCTAAGGGACAGGGACACAAAGGAGCGTCGGCACGGGCCCTCTGATTCTCGGCAGGCTGCCTCGGACTGAGAGGGAGGAGGAAGAGAAGCACCCCTACCAGCCGCAACTGAAAATGGAGAGCAACCGCCTCGCTCCCACAGGTGCTCAGGGCCCAGCAGGGCGCCTGCTCACCGAGGGCCGCCCCGGGCGGCTGCCGACGAACACAGGTGAGCAGCTCCTGGCCAGGTCAGCTGGAAGGGCAGGCCCGGACAGAACGGATTCCATTGCACACCTCCCACTACCGAGCCTTCGAATGTACCTTCTAACTCAGAAGTGGAGCGGACTGCCACCGAGAGTCCAGGTATTTGCCCACCTAGCCCTGCGCTGAAGCGGCCTCACGGGTGTCTTTAACGCTTAGGGTCCTGGAGGTTAAAATCCACTCCCCCTCCCCGCCTCGCATCTTGACAATGCACAAGGCCAAGTCTTCAGCCTAGACTAAAAAGTATGCTTGGCTTTCAGCCTTATGCTCGGCAGGTCAAAGGTCAGAGGTCCGGCTACTCTAGGAAGCAGGATTTGTGGTGAGCTACACTCCACGGCAACTTCAACGAAGGAGTGAAGGAAAAGTTACACTTACTTGTCATCTCTCTTTAGAAAGACGCCGGCATACGGCTGGGCAAGACGGACCTTCCTTCTTAGCAGCTCAACCAACTTCTTATTTTTAACCTAGCATGACAATGACCCCAAAGTGAAATGCAAGTTTCCTAACTGACATTTTGACAGCAGCTCTAGCGTTTTCTCTATCATTCTCGGGGATATGCTAAAAGCCAAACACACAAAGGCGTGGGACAGATTGGCAGGGCTGCATTCCTCAGTGGTTTCCGCTGCTTTCTAAAGAAAAGTCAAGGG